TGTGTAGGACATATGATATATGAGCTTAAATAAATAATAAGTCATTCATATTCTGTGATAACTTGATATCATATTATCATAGTTATTTTTGGAATGTTTGATGTATTTCTTTAATTATTACATCAATTGTTGGATTGTGTGGTTTAATGCACCGGTATGGGACGGTGGCATTCTAGGGACGGATTAACTTATCAGTTAAGTCCTACCTATTTTATATAAGGGAATGGATTAACTAAAATGTTAAGTCCTACTTATATTCAAGTCAGGTCAGCTGAACAAGTTGAATGACTTATAGAGGATTAATTTATTATATAAGGGAATGGATTAACTAAAATATTAAGTCCTACTTATATTCAAGTCAGGTCAGCTGAACAAGTTGAATGACTTATGGAGGATTAATTTATACTGGATAGGATGGTCACTAGATTTTATATATATAAGTATGGTGCCATGATATGAGCTTGAGTCTCAGGATCAGTGGTTAGGGTGCGTATATCGCCAGGGATGTGTAGCTAGATATAGTGTAGTTGTGTACCCTGGTAGGTCTAGGTACTCATGCCCACTATATGTGCGTTTTGCATGTTGCCTACTATTCAGGTTGAGACAACCCTATAGTCTAGTGAGGTTCCTTTAGTGTGTATATATATATATACGGACTACTAGTTACTGTTGTATTGACTAGGGTGTATACGTGTATCGGATCTCTGCTTGGACTGTAGTAGAGTAGAACTTGTTTGTGGGCCTGACCCACCATTGTTTTTCAGGTGTTCGTCACGAGTAGAGGTTGTTCGTGCTGAGCGGGGATCAATCTACTTCATTCTTCCGATGTTACATAGGAGTTCCTTTATGATTCAGTTTCCTGTTTTAGAATACTGTCATTTGTTTAGTTTGGATTTTCTAGGGGTCCACACAGTATGGATTCCCGAGTTGTATTTTGGAGGATCAGTTTTATCAGAAGACTTTATTAATTAATGGAAATATATTATGAGGTTTATTATTAGATTATCATTTTAGTTTCTTGTCAGCATTTTATTTATTCTTCTTTATTCTTTTGTAGTCTGTGTTCGTTTATTATCAATTTGTTTTGATATCTTCGGGTATTCGAGCGTGGGCCTGGCCAACCCACATTCGGAAATTCGGGGGTATCACACTAACCTCCGCCCGCCACCTAATTGAAGACAACCCAAGAAAAAACCCACCCCTTCGATTTCACCCACCACTGCCTAGGTTTCCAATCAAACCCCAATTGATTAGTGGCCATCAGAAACTCTTGGTCCGCCGCCAGCGACGACAGATCCTTCTGTCCTTCCTCCCAACGACCACAAAGGCTTTCACATCTCCAATCAAAATCAACCGAATCACCACTCACCACCACCGACACCGCTGTTGTCGTCAATTTCGCCGCCGTGGATCGTCAATGGAGATGATCCATCTTGGCCACTGGTAAGGTAGATGAGGGCATGTGAATCCGCTTGTCCAACGGATTTCTTGATACAATAAAATGTTTTCAACAACAAGTGGAAGCTACGACTTACACCATCTCTCGTCAACCACGGTGCCGTTACCGCCACCATCTCTCTGCACCCACTGCCACAGCCACCATCTCTCTGCACCCACTACCACAACCACAGCCACCACCACCGTCCACAACTATGGCTACAAAACCACCCCCAAATTTTTCTTCTTCCCTTTCTTGCACACACGCACACACATATACATAGAGAATTGAAATTGCTTCTTCCCTTTCTTGCGCGCGCACACACATAGATACACAAACAAATTGCGTTTCTTCCCTCTTTTGCACACACACATACATAGATACATATACATAGACACACCCACATAAGCATACCCACCCGAAATTGCACAGAAATTGGGGATTTGTAATTTCTCCATCAAAATGAAGACAAATAATTGAAATCGCCACCACTGCAACCACATATCTAAGCGCAAACGAGCCGCCACCGCTGAGGACGATGACGATGACTTAACCTTCCTCGACCTCTCCCTCATCAAAGCTATTGACAGATCCCAAAATGGCATCGTAGGGCTGTGATATCTCTCTTTCCATTTTGTATTTTGTGATATTTGGTAGCTCTATTTCGAGCACCATGGTGGTGGGTCTGGTGGCGGTATGGCTGTGAAATGGGTGGTGGCGGGTGTGAATTGGTCGTGGTGGTTGTTGGTTAGGTTACTAAGGTATTTTGATCAATTAAAAAGAATTGTATTGTATAAATTGGTAATTGAATGTGTCAAAGGACAATAATGTCAATTCACCATATGTAATGACCATTGGGGTGTTTTTGTTAATTTTATTAAACTTAAGGAGGTGTCTTTGTTCAAAAAATGACTAACTTGTATATGGCTGTCATTATAGCAAACCTCAGGGAGTGTCATTGTAATTAACCCTTTTTAAAAAAACAAAATTCTAATGCTTTAGCCTCATATATATTCCTGTTTAGAGGCAGATGATCTAACAATAATTTGTCATTTTTTTTAAGTCATAGAGGTAAGTTAATTATTATTGCAATTTTGAGTAACTGTGATATATATTTTTTTAATTGATAATCACACACACATATCTGCACTGAAGTTCAAAGTCCTGATCTTCCTTTAAAAAATAAGAATCTGATACCGCTAACAACTGACCTTTTGATAATTAATTATAATAATATATCATACAAAAAATGATGATAATGTTTTTTACGCTTAATTACCAAAAAAATTGATCTTGTTTACTATGGATGATAACAATACTAATGCTACTAGGAATAAGGAATATATAAGAGACTTGGAACCCATTCACGAGGATCGGTCAAAAGAGAGCCATGAATTCAAATATGATCGAATATATTTTACAATCTAGGCATCCTAATCTATACATAACTTCTGTGGTCGATATATATATATATATATAGATGGTCCAAATTATTGTTAGAAATATTGTTTTATATGTTTATTTCTTTATTTTTTGCTTTCTGACCATTCAAACCAATCATAACCTGTTGATAAAGAATATACATGGCCGGTTCACAATCTGATACGATTTTCAAATGTAGGGGGTGCATCATCTCCATATAATTACGTTATCATTTTGACTTTGCAATAACAAGAAGGAACTGTAATAAATGGATCTTCTGCCTTGGTCCTGTATAAATCATGCACCTCACTTCGCAATAATGCAAGAGATACATGAAAAAATAATAGTGCAAAAGATACATGAAACACCATATAATATAGTTGCAGCATAAAATGATATAATTAATATAGCAATTTATTATTAACGGGTCAATGACCTAGCGGTAATAGTTTCTTACTTTTCAAAGGGAGGTCATGGTTTAAATTTTAAAAGAGACAAATGTATGTGAATACTAACTAAAAATATATATATATAGCAACTTATTATATAATTGTGCAAGAGATACATAAAAGACAACATAATATAGTTCTTGCATAAGTTATGTAAATTACTTGTTGTCATTGTGCAGTCACTATATATAATCGTGCCAAAAATAGATAAAATGCAATGTAATGTGTTGTTGCATAAACTATCTAATATAGTTTTAAGGGTTTAGTAAGGTGGTCGCTTATGCTAAAAAATTATTTAAGAGATTATCTATATTTTTTGTTAAAATCTTAAAAAGGTTCTCACTCAATTTTAATAATACCCCACTATATATTGTTGTTGTTGTTGTTTAAGACCACCCTCTTGCTAATTATTTATTGTATAAATAATATAAAATTATTATATAAACAATGTAAATTATTGCATATGTAATGACACATAGTAGAATCCGAGTTCGGGATTATAAGCTCTCGTGTAAGAGCAGTTCCCTTTTTCTTTTCTTCTTTGTGATAGATTATATCTAATATTTTGAGCTTGCAAATGCCTCACATTTTCGTAACACGTACCAACATGTTACATATGCATATCTGTAAAATATGAATTCAAGTAGGTTTTTTTTTATTTAAAAAAATTAAAGCCTATTTTTCTTTTTATATATACACACACACACATCCCTCTTATATGGTGTGAGAGAATAATGCATTGTGATCAATCATATGAGAATGCAAGCAGATTATGTTTTTTTTTTTTTGAAAAAAAAAAAAATGATTTGGAGTTTGAATTCAGACACTCCCAGCACTCACAAACAGTGGGTGTTGTGGTAGAACCTACAACCATTTTGTGAGTGTTTGAAGAGCTGGAATTTGGACTCACCATCACCATTTTTTTTATTTTTTATTTATTTTTAAATTAAAGTATTTTACAGGGTGTGAGATATGAAGGCATTTGATAATTGATTGATAAAAATAAAAAATAAAAAAATTGATTGATGAGTATTGAGATAAACAAACAAGACAAGCAAGCATGAATGATGTCTACATTATTTACCAACAACATCACATGCTGCCCATATCCCATTCACATGTTTGTTTGGTTGCTCTCTCACGTATGTCACTTATCCCCAATACTTGTTCTTTTTGTGGTGGTGGGCAACGCCCTTGCAAATTTTATGGTATTATGTCATAATCATTAGGTAGGTTTGTCCATGTACATAAAGTTGAAATTTTGACCCTACATATTTAATTGCATCTGAAACTATGAAATACAAATAATAATTCTGAAAAAAAAAATAAAAAACAATAATTGAAGAAGAATTACTCCATTAATTCAAAATTATAGAATTTATAATTAGAGGTTTTGTTTTTATAATAACAAAAAATATATATAAATTAATCTCGAAAAGGCATACAATAATATTCAATTGATATTTACATTTATTTTTTTAAAACCCGTCATTACTCTTTTATTAAGTCCAATTATGATTATTATTTTTTTCGGTCATTTTTCTATTAGTAAGGCAAATTAAGAGTTTTCTTACCACTCACTCACTTAATTCAATGTTATAAGAATTTCAATATCTAAAATTGAAAAGATTTAACATAAAATTTTCAACAACACTAATAAATCCTTCATCGAAGTTTACGAGTTTACGAAATTAAGAAACAACTGTATCAATCGATTGGGTATTCAAAAAAAATTTCTCCAGAGAAGGGCAAAAATAGTACATATATCAATACATTAAATTTGTAAACACTTCACAGTCTATACAAATTTACAAACCCTTCCCTTTCAAAAATGATACATACATAATCTGATGGCTATATATAAATATATGAACTACAAATAATTACGATCTATTTCCGCCTGCCGTACAAATAAACGGAAGCAGAGGAGCCGGCTCGTAGCAGAACGGAGCCGCCGGGTGCTGCCATTTCTGGAACACCATCGGCTTCTCTGGCTCCATCACACGATGATTAATCTGTTCCTTCTTCGATTCCTCCTTGTTTGCAGTCGAAGATCTCATCTCCATCGTCCGATCTTTTGATTTTGGGGACGAAGGCGATGTGACCAACGGTGATAAGAGAGGGATGGCGATATTCCAATCAGAAGCAGGGGAGATCTGTATCGACGCCGGTGCCCGCCGTTGAAGGCGGCTAGACTGGCGCCTGCTGCCGGAGGATCTTCTCTGCGTGTCAGCCATAAATTAGAGAGAGAAAATAGGTGTGCGTATAGGTAAGATCTGTGATATAATTATAGAACAGAGAAAGATGCGTTCGAGTGGTGGATGTGCTTGAGAGAGAGAGAGGACCGGGGGTGTGTGTTGCGATAACAAAGAATGGGGGCTCTGTTGTGGTGTTATATATAATGGGCGTGTTTAGGGGAAAACAGTCAAAGAGTGCGCAAAGGCTGTACACGGCTTGGCTACTTTTAGAGCTGTTATTGATACAACCTCCAACTTGTCTTGTGAATTGACCATATTACTCTCTCTCTCTCTCTCTCTCTCTCTATATTTTTCACTTTCTAAAATCAAATACTCCTCTTATAAATTGACCAAAATTACTCTCTCTCTCTCCCTCTCTCCTATTATTATTATTATTATTATTATTATTTCTTTCGTTTCATTATATATACTAATATCTATATATATATATATTTTATTTTTACGCCTTCATTGAAAAGACAAAGTATTATTCCCTCCGTCCCTAATTAGTTGTTTTTCATGTTCCAAATTAGTTTTCCTCTTTGAAAAATCAAAAACATCTTTTCATTATATTTCCATCATTATTCTTTATCTTTTTTAAAAATTTCAAACTTTGTAACTATATATATTTAAATTAAAAAGAACAATTTGATAATTTTAAAAGGGAACAATGCATTAATTGCATATCCCCTTAAAAACTCCAATTTCTAAACATGAATTTCTATTTAGGGACATGGGTATTATTTTTTTTAGTAACATTACAATTTAACTTTCTTATATTAAACTTATAAAATGTAAACCATTGCATCTATATGAACCCACTATGAATAAATTTGATAATTCATTTACTATTAATAAAATTAAAAAAATTACTAAAATTATCATCATAAAAAATTAGATTTCTTAAAAGAGACATTTTTTTTGGACTAAAGAAGTATTATTTTGACCCTCTCTCGCATATTAATCGGAATCCCGTGTGTTTGGCATGTAGATTGATTGTGTAATATTACATTGTATCAAAGCAAATGCATAAAAAAGTTATTGCTACATATGTGACTTGAAATTATTGCATATATTATTTGAATTGTTGCATAAAAGATGTACTGGCAATGCCCAAAAAGAAAATAGCGTAGCAAAAAAAGCTAAAATCATAAAGTCGAGATGTATAAATCAAATGAAATGTTCTTTTATTTTTATTTTAGTGAGTAAAATAACTTAGTTACAAATAGTTTTGGAGTCTTTGATTTATTAAGAAGTATGGAGGGAGGATGTATATCCACCGAAAAAAATATGAAATATATTATTTTTTATGAAGTGCATATGTAATTGTTTATTTATTTATTTTTATGGTGCATAATTTAAAATAGTAAATAAATATCACGGCCCAATAGTGTTCAATTTTGAAATTAAAAACGTTTGAATGTTCATTTATTAAATATTTATTAACCGCGTTGCAAATTGGTTACTGGTAGGTTCATTATAAAGATGAAAGGATAAAAACGGAAACCCAACTGCGTAATTATCAGTCCAACCAGAGTTCCAGCCAAGCCAACTACTTTATAGCCCAAAAGCCTGATCGTGTCAGTGTCAAAAACCTAAAGTAATGAGTTTGATGCGTCTTTGACGACCTTATAACGGAAAACCGACACTCTTTACTCGCCACCACTCGTTTTTGACCGAAGAAAGTAGATGCTTCAAACGGACGTTATTGTCGATGTGTCAACACGTGATTCTCTATCCCTCTTCGATGTTAAATCTTTTTTAAGTTGAGAATGGACGGTTTAGATCCAATTACGTGGTCCGTAAAGATCAACCAACAAGAGGTGCATCGTGCATGACACACGCTAGGGGCTTAGATTTCTTATCTCTATTGTCTGGTTCTGACTTTTGGTACCACGTTTCCAACCACAAGATGTTCCATTTTTGTCAAAGAATGGTAGTCAAGGATATAGTTGTCATTTTCACGAGAACGTTCGGATCCGAGACGTTTTGTTGCTTAGTCAAATATACACTGATGAACTATCTTTGACTATATCAATCAGGAGTTAGGATTACCGCGGAATTGAAAACCAACGATATACCAAAAACATTAGGAAAAATTATATAAAAGTGGATTTTAGGAGGTCTTGTTGGGTTCAAAGTTAATATTTTTAAAGTCATTAATCTTGATCAAAGTCTGATAATGAATATAAAAAGAGTAGTGATATTCACACCCATAACTTGAAGTGAATTGCTTAACTCAATAATTTTTAATTAATTAATTATATCAAATAAAACTAGATTGAGAGTTTTAATTTCTTATTTGTTGCATAATTGACCAATTAAAAGAGTAAGTCTAACAATTCACTACTATCATTTGGTGCAAGAATTATTTTTCATATAAAAAATGGGGTGAATGTAATCTTCATGTATTGATTTTAAGTGTATAATTTTTTTAGCTTTTTTCAATAAAGCCTATTGTTTAATTTTTTTACCAAAGAATCTCCCTAAATTATCGGAGGGGATATAAGAGTGAATATTTGGACCAAAATGTTCTTTTATTTAAATTCTAATTTTTCGAACTTCAAAAATTCAAATCTCACAAATCGTACATTTCGAAATTATAAATAATATATGTACGAAAATCTTATAAAATAAGGACTCTAGGAATATAAGATTTGTATAACAAACCTCCATAACCAGAGAGACATAGCAATCTAAAATCTGCTCTAGCAATCTTATTTTATTTTATTTTATTTTTTAAAAATATTCGGGATATTTGCAAGAAAATTTTCAGACTTCTTCATTTACATATGGAGCATAATATATAAAAAAACTAGCCCCAAAAAATATCGATTTCATGAAATATCATATTTTGCGTTAAAGTATTTTTATTTTTATTTTTATAGACTCTCTATTTAAAAATAAATCAAAATGAATATTTGGTCTCTGTCGGGGCTAATTTTTTTTATATGTTATGCTCCATATGTAAATGAATAATTCTAAAAATTTTCTTACAAATAACCCAAGTATTTTTTAAAATAAAAAATAAAATAACATTGTTGCGGTAGATTTTTAGATTACTTATTTCTCTTTGGCTATAATGTTTGTTGAATAAATATTATATTTCTAGAATCCTTCTTTTATAAATTTTCCATGTGAGATATAAATTTTTGAAGTTTGGAAGAATTATAATTTAAATAAAAGGGCATTTTGGTCTAAGTATAAGTTCTTTTACCCCTCAGATAGCTTAAGGGTTCTTTAGTAAAAAAAATAGACAATGGGGTTTATTGAAAAAAGTTACAAGTCGAAGAGGGTATTATGTACTTTGCCCTAAAGTTTAATATTGTATTTTAATGATTTAAATAGGTTAATTCAGAATGGTTGAGGTGTTATAGTTCAAGTTGACAAATTTGGATACAATTGGATCACACTTTCCTTAAATCATATGCAGTTATTTTTATTGCAAACATGAAGGGGTACGATGACCCTCTATATATTAATCATAATTATGTTGTAATATAAACAAGTGATACAAATTGCCAAATTGGAGTAATAGAACAAAAAGGGAATATATCAACTTGATAATAAATGTTGTAAGAGTATCTGTATGATTTAGACATCATATCCGCTCCTTATGCTGAAGGATTCCACTATGGATAATAGATATCTGCTTATGAAAAAGGGATATGATTCAGTCAACACACCAAGTTTTTGGAGCTTGCTGTTATAAATGTCACTCTAGATGGTTTAGATGTGTATAATTTTTATTTTTCAAAATTCTATCCATAAATATACAAGTACATATTTACAATCTCTTTATTCTTCTACAATCTTCTATAATCTACTTGTATAGACATCTTATGGATGGTTTAGATGTGTTATAATTTTTACTTTTTAAAATTCTACCCATAAATATATACATATTTACAACCTCTTTATTCTTCTACAATCTTTTCCAATTTACCAATTTAATCCTACCATTCTTATATAATCCATCTATTCCATACTTCTTTATTAGACTTTTATATTATTGGAATGAATAGCAAAAAATTATTATTGAAATGAAAATATAAATGCATAAGAGAAGAAAAATAGTATATGTGAGGTCAGATTTTTAATGACGATTTTTCAAACAAAAAAGTATTAGGTCGTGATAGTCAGACCGACTATTATGGCCTATTTCTTAGGCATAATCCAATGTGGCAGTCCAGTTGGCAACGAATCTAAAAAATAGGCATCTGAAGTGGGTTTGTTCTGGCGATGACGAACTCAAAACGGCGATGGTGAGCTTGTAGCAAAGACGGCTGGGTAAACCTACTTTGATTTCTCTCTAAGCCAATACCAAATCTCGTCATTTAGTTCAGTCACCGGTGCCATTCAGTCGCCAATGGACATTATACCTCCATTAACAACACCCCAAATCAACAAAACAACCTCATCCACCCACAACCTTCACCACCACCCATCCGCATCCAAACCATACCTGCAAACCAGAATCAAAATCGCAACCCCAAACCTCCATTACCACTACAATCAACCTAATCATAGAACCCAAAACCCAAAACCCAATTGAAAAACAAAATAATACAGACAACAATAGTGGACAACCCAAATCCCAATCTGAAGAATTGAAACCAACCATCGTCGGAACCTCGCCATTACAGTCACTGTTCAACGGCATTTTAGTCCACTTTACTTCCATTCCGTTCTCCTTCCATGTTGCCTACAGTCTCGTTTGTACCATCTGTCTATTGCCGGCATGCAAACGCTCGTCGCCAGCCCACCATCTTAGTCACCGAGCAGTTCTCTGTGCTCCTTTTTTCCTCGCTACGGTTCCTAGCTTTGATTCGTTTTTATTCATCCTCGCTACATATCAGGATCAGTCCTCGCTAATCTTTGATTTATTGCCCCCAAACCCAACATCAGAGGGTAAACGAGCCCCCCCTATTGCTCTAAATCATAACATCTTCATCGCCCTTGTTGAGTAGAGAAATGAATACAGGGAGGAAGTTCAAGATTCAGGAACGTGTGCACCGGTTTGAGCCGGAGTCGGAGTAGGGGAGGACAGACCGTCGCTTTAGGCTCACGTTCTTCCACTGTTGCATGACCTATTTGATGCCCACGATTTGGGTGGAAGACAGTCACTTCACCCGCATCTTCTCGCCGA